AACTGATTAATAAACAATTTAATATCTAAACGCGTGCTTATCATTTTTTAAATTAAGCTAAGATGATTATAAAGTAATTTCTGTTCTAAACACTCTGAATCATTTGACAATGAACGCTCAATCACCCTGCTACATTCGTTGGGGCTCGAACTCGTGATCTCTAGAAATAACAACGATTCATTTAATCACCGAAGTAAGTTGGTTCGTGTTAAACGCGTACTTATTAGTTTGGTAAAATTGGGGTGTAAATATCTTTATTGGTCGGTGCAATATTAAATTTCTCATCCGAATACAGCATATTGAAGATAAACTTGGACAGATTTTCAATTTGGTGGACCATATGTTACTTCAATGGCACATGCTTTGTGATCCCAAATAATTGAGGGACTAAAACCGAAATTAAACCTGACTCATTAAAAAAGTAAATAAAGAATTTACATGCAAAGGATCAAAACAAGAGTACTGTTCGATATTACATTTAAGGTTAAATTAGTTCAAATATCGTTCAATTTTATCATCAAATTTTGAATTAATTAAGTTAAATCATTAATATTTTAACCTTAAATGAGCATTAAAGCCTTTTTTATAGGCATTTGGACCGCCTCATTTGCTGTTTATTTCTTACCTTGTTTATCTTCTATTTATAAATATAAATATTCATTATCAAACAATTAACTCCTTAAATAGATATCACCTTATATTCATATTCTATTTATAAAAAATTATAATTAACAATGTGATGATATAATACTCTTTTTTCCGTTAATTTTAATTATATATCAATTTTATCACTAAGTTTTAAAGCATTTTAGTTTTAAATGTTGAATTTTACGATGTTAGGGAAATACCGATAATAATTCATGAAAAATCAATACTAAAATGCTCGAAATTCACTCCATGAAACCCATTCAAAATTGAAGAAAATTCATATAGTTTGATAAGCTAACACTCCGACTACTTCAATGACCATCCGATGATGCTAGATTCAATGTTTGTTGTTTGTCTTCTTAAAGGAATGTTTCTCCTTGTTTGAATTTTCGAACATACACCAAAACTCCAAAAATAATAAATTTTTCGTATATTTAATTTCGTGAGTTCTGAAAAAGTTTTGAAAAATCTAAATCAATAAAACGGTAGAGAACAATCAGATAAATACATTGGCATTTAGGCTGACCGTAGAAGATTTAGAAGAGGTTAAAAATAAGTAAAAAAAAAAAAATTGGGATACTATGTCATCTGATTATTAAAATATTAATGATTTAATTTATAATTAAAGTTTAAATTTAAAATTAATAATATAAAATTAATTTAATATTAAATAATAAAACGATATAAATTAATTTCGCCTATGCTTCTATAATACCACTCCCGATGCTCACATTTTCGCCATTCGAGCCGGCCTCCCCAGGTACGAAAGCCTGATGAGGTGGGTGTGGGACGCTAACCGCAACGATCCCGTTCGTGAGAACGCCACCCTTACCATCGGCGAGGACGGGAATTTCGTGCTGGCGGACGTGGACGGTCGTGTCGTTTGGCAAACCAACACGGCTAACAAAGGTGTCACGGGGATTAGGCTACTACCGAATGGTAACTTGGTACTGTATGATAAAAATGGAAAGTTCGTTTGGCAAAGTTTTGATCACCCGACTGATACTTTGTTGGTGGGCCAATCGGTTAGAATCGACGGTCGGAACAAGCTCGTCAGCCGAACATCCGACGTAGACGGCTCCGATGGGCCGTATAGTATTGTACTAGACTGTAACGGGTTTATTATGTACTAAATAACTCCGGTCAGCAACTTAGCCAATAAAAGATTTTGGAGACATTGTGACATTTGATGCCGTGCCTGAAAATGAAAACGCAACAGCTTACGAGTTAGTTTTGATACATCAACAAGCTAATCAGGCACTACTTCTACGGCCGGAAACAGTCGACGACTTCTACAAGTCCGTCCGATAGGCGGAGGCAACACATACAACCTCAATAAACTCAACTACAACGCCACGATTTCTTTCCTGAGACTCGGATCAGACGGAAACCTAAGGCTTTCACCTCCTATGACAAAGTGAGTTGCCTAAACTGGGATGAGAGCTTTGCTTTCTTCTCAAGTTACTTCGTTAGGGAATGTGCATTGCCATCGAAATGCGGTGCTTTCGGATTATGCGATAAGAGAATGTGCGTCGCTTGTACGAGTCCGAGGGGACTATTGGGGTGGAGCGAAAGTTGTAAACCGCCGAAGCCGGTACCTTGTCGGAGCGGAGCTAAGGCCGACTACTACAAAATTGTAGGGGTGGAACATTTTCTGAACACGTATTTGGACGACGGCGAAGGTCCGATGAAAGTCGAGCAATGCCGGGACAAATGTACCAAAGATTGCAAATGTCTGGGGTTCATTTACAAGGAAGATACATCGAAGTGCTTGACAGCACCCCTTCTTGGGACATTGATCAAAGATGTTAATGCTACATCTGTGGGATACATCAAGTACTCAAAGTAGATTTAACTATTTACCGGGTAATTTACTAGGTGATGAACAGAGAAGTATTTGTGTTTTGCCCGTACGTTTTCTCATATTAGTAAAAGTTTATTAATTTTGTGTAATCTCATATAAAATACAATAATGAAATTTACGTTAGAATATAATGTCATATCTACTCTTATTATAAAATTTGTGATCGAATTAGTGTTATAAATTAATCAAATAGTAATTTAATTAAAAATTTTAAATATTATTCGTTTAAATTATAGTTAATAATACCATGAAGACGTTTTTATGTTTTCGTAGAGTTAATTGCATCATACGACTGTAAACTTTGACTCTGATAATTTAACCTAAATTTTGTTATTCTTAAAAAACATAATAATATAACCTGACCTAATGATTTTATTAATAAGGAATGTGATTAGAATATAAGTATAGTTTGAGATTAAATTGGAATGCTCAAAAAGTTTAAGGACCAATTTAGAAAGAGAGTCATAGTTTAGGGATGAAATTGAAATGTTCAAAAATTTAAGGACTAATTTAGAATGACAGTCACAGATAAAGATAACGTAAAATATTAAAAATTAATTTAAAATAAAATTTATAGTTTAAGGACATATGATGCAATTAATTCATTTTCATACTTCTATGTAAAATTCCAATAACACAATTTAAAATCAGTTTGCTTTTCACTAATTAGCCCAATGGAATATTCACCAATTGGGTCCAAGCATTTGGGCTAATATTTTAATTGGCTAGAAAATTGAGTTTAATGCAGTAGATTTTGCTTTCTTCGGCAAATTTGATTAAAACAATAATCTAATCGAATTAATTACAAATTGAATTATTTCTTCATAAAAAAATAACCTACAAACTCAGGGTCAAATAAAAATTTATAAGATTCATCTAATTTGATCCTCCGTATTTATATTTATCTAATTATTTATTCGTTTATATTATGTATATATTAAATTTATAACGTATGAACTCATTAAATAACATAATAGTAAGAGTATGTTGTTCTTTTTAAAAGACTTAAATTTTAACAACTACATTTGAGGAAAATAGATTTGTATTTATCTAATTATTTATTCGTTTATATTATGTATTAGATTTGTATGTTAGACGAATTTTTAAAATTTTAAAAAATGATTGAAGTTATAAAATTTTACAAGAGGAAAATAGATTTTTAATAAAAAAATATATAAAAATAACTAAAACATACAATAATTGTAAAATTTTGAGGACGGGTGAGGTTTATCCTTGTATGTTACCCTATGTACCGTAATTGATCTTATTGAATAACCTTTAAAGGAAAATGTTGTATTCTCTAAAGATTTCAGACTCGAGTAATCATGTTTATAGAATATATATATATATGAACATATATAATATTTATGATCGTCCAACATTATTTATAATTCTTCATAAGACTTTCGATTCCTTGAGCCGGGATTTCATTCATGTTGTCTTAGAAGTTACGGAGTTGCCTAATATTTTTCGAGGTTGGATCAAGGTTTTCCTTATCCCCTTGAATTTTCATTTCATTCAATGGTAGTCTTATTGGCTACTTCAAGGGATCAACTTTTTTTTTTGGATGTGCTCTCTTGTGGTATTTGGGGTAAGATCCTTGGTTCATGTAATATTAGCAAGACTGCCTCAAGGTCGGACCATGAGCTGGATTGGACTTGTTCCCGATTGAAAGTCAAATCTCTGTCGGTTTTCATCTTGAAAATTGCTTGGTGTGCTTACATATATTTTGTTTGAGAGGAAAGAAATTACCAATCGTCTAGGGGAAGATCCCGAACCATTGATGCAATCGTTGAGATCATAAGAAAGATTGTTAGTATCAAAGCTAGGAACAAATGCATTGATTTTCTGAACCCTGTAAATACTAGGTTATATACTAATGAATACTCAAATATTTTACGGTCGTTGTCGTTCAAACATTACTTTCTTTAAATAATTTATGTTTAAATATTTTATCGATAAGTATGAATAAATTTATTTGAATTTAAAATTAAGACTTAAAATCGACCTAAATAATTTACTGTTGCCCTCCATCAACATAAAAGATGCATGTGGTGATGGGAGAATATAATTAATGCAATGTTGCTCATCTTATTATGATCCTATATTCTGTAAGATTAATAGATTCCATGTTGTCTAAATTAATTCTCGAATTGTTTTAAATCAACTCATTCCAACTAGTATTTAAATCACAGTAAAAAATAATTAACCTAGGTGAGAAATGTTAAAACTTAGTGGTAATTAGACTAATGTAGCCTATAATGATTGCTTGGAGGATGGAACCATAATTATAAATATAGAAAAAATATATAGTTAATGCTAATTGTACGATTAAAGGAAGAAAAATATGAACTAAATTACTTTCAATGGCCCCATTACTTGTCCTCTCAATTTAGCTCTCCCATTGGTGTGATCTTCAACTTCTTCAATCTTCTCTGCAGTTTTTTTCTTTTCTTTTCGCCCTTTCTTCTTTGATTAGGTGAATGCAATGATGTCAATCAACAAAGGGAAAGGAATAGATGAAGGTTCTTCGATACTAGGTGGTGTTGGTGCTGGTGGTGGTGCTGTTGTTGTTGCTGATCAGCAGAATCCACAGCCGTTGAGCCGGTACGAGTCACAGAAGAGACGGGACTGGAACACTTTCGGACAGTACTTAAGAAGCCAAAGGCCACCGGTCGCGCTTTCGCGGTTTAACGCCGATCATGTCCTCGAATTCCTTTGTTACCTCAACCAATTCGGTAAGACCAAGGTGCACTTACAAGGTTGCGTGTTCTTCGGGCAACCGGAACCGCCTGGGCCGTGTACGTGCCCGCTCAGACAAGCTTGGGGTAGCCTCGACGCTCTCATCGGTCGACTCCGGGCCGCTTACGAAGAGAATGGCGGGTTGCCTGAGACCAACCCTTTTGCCAGTGGTCTTATAAGGATTTATCTTCGTGAAGTGAGGGATTCCCAGGCTAAAGCTCGGGGGATTCCTTACAAGAAGAAGAAGAAGAAGAAGAGGAACCCATTGAAGACTAATGAAGTTAGCTCAAGCTTCACCATTCAGCCGCCTTGATTCTCTCATGGTATGTAATTAATTCACTTATTTTTCTTCATTAAAAGTCTTAGTTAACAGTACAAGATCTGATATCCAAAACAACAAACTTTGACTTATTCATGGATATTTAATACATGAAAACAATTGAATTTTAGTATTTTACTATAATCAATGGATTAAGTAAGCTTTAATTGTTTAGTTGACAAAATTATTACTCTAGGAAGAAGAACAGTTATTTTTAGTAAGCCTGGACAAAATTTGGACATTTAGGCCAAACATTTTGAAATTTTTTCCCATTGATGATAAACCCTAGAGCTTCAAAACCCTAATTTGCTATGAACAGATTCAAAGCTATTCTCCTTGATCATCATCCCTTTCATTCTCTCTCACTCTCACATGCGAAAACCTTAATAATTTTAATGGTTTTTGTAAATGTAATATATTTCCCATTTTCAAGCTTTGTTTTCACTCTAGTGAGTCCATGCTCTTTTAGGGCTTGTTCTCTCCATTAATGGACATAACTCTTTAAATATATATATATATATATCTTAAGAAAATATAAGGATTGAAGATTTCATGACAGTAGGATAAACCCAAAATGCTTGCTCATCTTCTTTGTTCTTTTGCAGCAGATAACATAAGCTATCAGTAAGATATCCTACACTCAATATTTTATAAAGCTATAATAGATTAAAATATATTGGATTTATAATAATATTAACTTGCCATAATGTGAATGTCCTTTTCTTTGGTGATAATTCTATTTGCAATAATCAACCAGAGAATCAGATTTCCTTTTGTCTGCATCAGAAAAGTGCTAATTGTTTCCCCTTATTTTTTATATAACCCACAAATGCTTTGCAGCTAATGTTAGAGTCCAAGCAGTATGAAAAATGCAAAAGCATCATAATTATGCCAAAATCATTTCATTTGTTGTATTATTTCAGGGTCTTAAAATAAAATTCCAAGAGCTTGAATCAGTTTGTTACTAGTACTACAACATCATGCTAAAGCTCCATCTTACTGGGAAATCAGCAATCATTTCCTCCTGGGATCTAGATATTGGTATATAGCTAGCTAGTTCATGTTCATCAGCACTGTGTTTATATATATATAATTATATATTCATATAAACTGGAGTTGAAGAGGGTAAGTTGCTCTTTCATCTTCTTCTTCTTCTTTTTATTTTATATTTCCTTTCCTTTTCAAGTTAGTTAATTTGTAGTATTTCGTCAAATGCAGTCAAGTATGTTCCATGAACTATTATTCTCCAGGTATATGTATATTGGTGATGCAAATGACTTCAATATTTTTGTACTTCAACTGTTCAAATTTTTCTTTATTATAAACTATTATATGGGATAGTATCTTAAATATTAGTATTATAATACAATTGTAGGAGTAATGACCGTCATAATAATATAAGGATACCCTTTTATATAATTCATGCCATTTCATATATTTTTCATTCCCCACTTAAATTAAACTTGTCCCACATCTTCATAATGTTCTTTGATTTATACAGTAACTTCATTGGATCCCTCTTCAAGGTTAAAAAAAATATTACATAAGCTAGTAATTACTGTCATTGACCTTCCTTCTTCCACTCAAGGAAAAAAATTTCTCCTAATTCCCACCCTTTTAAGATTTTGCAATGCAAAATCCATCTTTTTCAAGTCCCCTAACTAGCTGGTTATCTGCAATTCTGGTGAACGTAGCCTCATGAAACTATGTAATTCCGCTTTCATAGTGTTAATGATTCGAATCTCAAGTATGTTTGATTATCTCTTAAACGTAATTACACGGATCGAGTTAAACTTTGAATTCTCTCCCATGTTCTTTCTCATGCAGATCAAGAGCCACTGTAGTTGTTTAATTTTGTTTCTGTTAGTCTGATATATACCTAATCATTCTTTTAGACTAGTTCAATTCAATAGCACAACCACTAACATATTGGATGTCTATCAGATTGTACTAGAAAGATGATGAAGTTTATCTTGATTACTAGACTGCAGTTTAGACTTTTCAGATATGTATGTATGTATGTATTATATGCGACATTTATATAACATTGACAGCACACTTTCAACTTGGCTTACATTTTTTCTCCACAATGTTCCATCAAACAGGCGATTAGACAAGTATCATAAAAATGGGGGCAGGAAAAGGGATTGAGTATATGTTTTTCAATGGCATGTTGCAAATATTTTGCACCATTTAAGCTTGAAAGTAAATGAAAATATGTATATAGATAGAATCATTGTAGGCTAATGGTCTGTTAATCTGCATTGATAGACATATATGATTACAAAAATTCTTCTTTTATTAGTTGATTCAATGTTATTTAAGGTTTGAACGAGTTTTAGCACGACCGATAATGGTGTAACATATAAGAGGATATGAGTTTGAGCATGTTAAGTGCACAATTTTGTTCGATTTTTAAGTGAAAAGTCTAAGTAATGTAGACATTGTATAAAATAACCTAATTAAAGTTTTAGAGTGATTTCTTTTAAACTTAGGAAAGATAAAGAAATTCTAAAATCTAATTTAGTTTCGAGTAGACTATTCATGAATAGTTAGATTCGGACTTGAAATTATTATTATTAAGAAATTTATGTTATCACTTTATCATCTTTAGATTCTTTTTATGATCGATAAACAAAAAAGATATGATTTGACCGGCTATTATTTTACTTTAAAGAATCACTTCTAGAATACTATATATGCATAAAATACTTTTTTAATAATATAGTCATTTCAACCTTAGCATTTTCTTCTTTTCCAAGCAAGTTGATAGACCCTAAAACCATTTCCAAGTAACCTAAAAAACAAATAGGTAAGAAGCATGCACTTGCCTCTTTCCTCTCTTCTTTTCATAAGACCCCACCTTCTGTCCTGGCCCCATGGCAGGTTTTCTTGAAGGGTTCTTAAAGTTGCACCAGGTTTGACAAGGGAATAAGATAGTTCAATCGTATTAGTCGACCGAAGCTTGAAGGTGAAGTCGAATTCGACCTACCGATAAATTAGTAGACCGAACCTAGAAGATGAAGTTGAAGTCGACCTACCGATAAATTCCTTACAATCAGACTCGAAGATTACTTGTTCTACCCCCATCTCTGAGTTGAAAAACAAGTTTCTTGGATACATATAGCTTATGCTTTTGCTTCCTCAGCAGAACTGGCATTGACCATGAGTTTCACCCCATTTGGTCCAAATGGTCATCCAACTTTTAGGATGTTATCAATTTAGTCACTCCAAAAGAAATCTTTGCAATGAAGTCATCTAACTTTTGGAACATTATCAATTTAGTCATCATTGTTAAAAGAATCTCTTTTAATCACTGTCATTAAATCAGCTAATGGCATCTGACTCAGCATGCAACTACCTTATAAGAAGATGACATATATCCTTTTATAACATAGTTTTCCTATCTACTTCCGACTTATCCACAGGCATGAACAAGAGGTTGTGATGCAGGGATAATATTTGAATTAAACCATTAAGGCTAGTTCATAGCAAAATTCTCAAGTGTTCTCAAACTAATAAATTTAGATTCCTCCGTGGCTTGATTTTGAGATGAACTGTCATACTTCAAGCTTTTCGTGACACCGAAGAAATGCGCAACGGCCTCTTCAGGAATCCCGACTAGAACGCCATGACCCAGATTAAGAATGTGCCCACGCGGTCCTGCACACTTAACAACCCTGAAAACATAATGCACTAGTTTAAACTACTGGACCGATTCGAAGCATAGTTTAAAGGAAAATTTTCTCAAACCACTTAATAGGAGTCGAATGCTAGTAATAACTGGTAATAGAGGAGTCTCATCAAATGTATTTGTCTCATCTTTTTTCTATATAATTTATAAAAGGTAGAGTTCTTCCTTAAAATAAATGAATTTTCGAAATTCATAACCTTATATGGCTTTACTGGTCAAAGAGCCAAATAAATGTTCAGGTTCAAAGCAAACAATTTTTTGAAGAAGTCAGGGAATTAAAATTTTAACTTTCATTGACTTTACATTTTAGTCATTCACTCATTTTAATGAAATATGATTTTCTTTCACCTTATACCTATTCTTATCGTTTAATTAGCTGAGGACATAAATAATTAGCTCTGCAATTTCAGAGAAATGAGGTGAGAATGATTCATTAAGGTAATACAAATGATGCTTTATCCAATCAACTTAGTTCCAAATTACCTCTGTTATGTAAGGCTTTGACCATTTCTCCCACATATCAGGTGGTAGTTGGACACCCCATGAATCGAATATTTGTATGCAATGTGCTCCAGCCTCCACTTGGTAAATAACGTATTCAGATATCGCCATTGTTAAATGAGAAAGAAGGGCCCTCAATAAATTCGGTGCTGTGTGGCACATACTCTTTATGTTTGTGTAAGTGCGAGTTGTACCTCCCTCTATATGTTGCAATTGTCCAAGGTGCTCCGGCAAAACCCAGCACTACTGCATGATCTCCAACCTACATAAAAAAGAACTTATATAGGAAAAGGACATTTGGCCATTATAAGATTTGTAGAAAATAAGTAAGACAATGTTTATACAATGCGTGCTATTAAAACGGACGATCACCTCCTGGCGCAAAATCTCAAGGGACTCCCCAACAAAATGTAGTTTCTCCAAGTCAATAGGATGCAATGTCTTCAAGAATGACAGGACCCTTTACTTCTTCAATGTCAAACGGGACACCGAATGCAGGCAGTGGAGTAAGAATATCAGAGAAAATTATAACTCCATCAGGGCGGAAAGCTTCCCAAGGCTGCAAAGAAATTTCCACAATGAGATCAGTTGTCTCGGACCTCTCTCTGAAGGACGGATGTTTCTCCGCAAGCTTTCTGTAAACAACCATATACCTTCCTGCCAGGCGCATCATCCATGCAGGAGGCCGACTTACGGGATCTCCTCTCACGGCTTTAACCAACAATGGATCTAAAACACAGATGAAATGGAGACAAAGAGCATAAGTTGATAGCATCTCTAAAGTCCAATGACAAGACTGTACTTGCCATTTCTGATTTGCAACATCATTACATTCCAATACCAAGGAGGAATATTAGTCGAATTCATATAGGTTACACAAAAAGATCCGAAATCGATTACCAGAGAAGTTCACAGCTTATATAACTAACACTACAAACCAAATTATCATCAATTAAAAATGTAAAAATTGTAAAATTTCATCATTATACAACAGGATATTAAAGCCGTTTTACATTCTAAATCAAGCCATGTCAATTCCCATCCATGCTCCAATCATTACACTACTAAAAAACATAGCTTTAAACGAATGCAATCCATTTTCCGAACGAATTGCATCTGATTCTGAACAAAATTCTACTAAATTACAACCATTTATCATTTTTCACTAAACATCCAAAATTTAAAATAAAAAACAAAAATACTAACCAACCGAATAAAGATTTACATTTTTGAAAACCCACTTCACATTGAACCCAAATATAAGAAAACCCAGAAAACTAAACTAAAAAGAAAACCAAAGATAACTTTACAGGTAGTAGAAGAAGATCAAGTTACAGAAAACTTGTTAATTTTCGTTCTTTTAAGAGAAGAAACAAAGCTCCAGGGAAATTACTAGCTTCATTTGAGTTAAAACCCAACCGCACTGTCAAGCTCGGGGATTTAGCTCCCAAGGAAGTGCAAGCACTGCATGAAAAATCGGAGAAACAGAAGAAAATTAGAAAAAAAAATGTAGAAAATTGAAGAGTGTTCTTTTCCTTAATAAAAGTGGGATTTTGACCCTGTTAGTGAAAATCAGCTCATTTTTTGGGAGAATTTGCTAGACAGAATTTAGGAGTTTGGCGGAAGCTGTTCACTGTTCCCTTATCTTTGAAAAGAAAATCGATAGTTTGACTTTGGTATATAGTAAGTCAAACTGAAGCTTGTGATGTTGCCACGTCAGAATATTGGATAAAATTTGGGATAGTTAATTGCATCATATGTACCCAAACTATAACTCTCATTTTAAATTGGTATTAAAACTTTTGAATATTCTAATTTCATCCCCAAACTATGAGTCTCATTTTGAATTAGTCCTTAAAATTTTGAAAAATCTAATGTCATC